CGTGCTGGAGCCGCAGCGCCGGGCGCTGTCCCTGCGCGTGCCGCCCCGGCGAGTGGGCATCTTCCTGGACTGCGAGGCCGGGAAGCTGGCCTTTTTCAACGTGTCCGACGGCTCCCACATCTTCACCTTCACCGACACCTTCTCGGGGCCGCTCTGTGCGTACTTCAGGCCCAGAGCCCCCGACGGCAGCACACGCCCCGATCCGCTCACCATCTGCCCGTTGCCCGTTCGAGGAACACGCGTCCCCGAAGAGGAGGACGGTGACACCTGGGCACAGCCTTACGAGCCCTCGGCGCCCCCCATGGACCCATGGTGAGGCGCGCGCTCGCCGGGTGGAGGAAGCCCCGCCAAAATGCCAGCAAAGGCGACAGACAGACAGACAGCACAGCGGAAGGGAAACAGACAGGGGCTTGGCCTGCGTAGATGTGTCTGTGTGTTTAGAATTTTCTTTTTTTTAAAAAAGAGGCAATTCCCAAGCTTGTCTGTGTGTATCATAGGATTGAGAAAGTGAGGAAAACATATTGATGTTGCCAGGAGCCACTGTGCTCACTGCGCAAAGGGGGAGGGAAGGGGGAGGGGGGAGGGGGGGAGAAGGGAGACGTATGATTGGATTAAAGATATCCATTAACTTACATATTTGTATACGTCGTATTTATTTTCTAGTTGATAAGGAATGAATTCATCTAGGGCTCATATCCCAGCTTTAAATGTCAATTCCCACTAACATGAACTTGGGAAGCGGCTGATTCCGGGCTGGGACTGAGAAAGCACAAGGCGGATCTGGACCGTTTTGTGCCTTAAAGTGCAAACGTGCTCAAAAACTGATGGGACACAGCCAAGGACACAGGAGCGAGGGTGAAGGGGCGCCGCTGGCCATGGCGGGACGGTTTGAACTTTAAAGAGAATCTTGGCAAGAATGAATCGTGACAAGAATTGCTCAACACGGGGCTGAGCAAATAAATGTCGAAAAGTTGACTGAGCATCAGGTTTCTCAGAGAAAGAAAACAAACACAAAATACAGAGAGGGGCAAGGAGAGAGCGAAAGAACACCTCCAAACTCGTGGTTTTCACGGTGTGTAGGTGGACGGAACACATGTGTGATGGGGTGGAGGGGTGTGTGTATGAGCATGCGTATTGTTCCTGGCTCTGCTTTGAGGGCTTAGGAACAGTAACATCCAGGACCAATGAGCACACATATCTGGCACCATAACTTGTTGTTTTTTAGCCTTTTCCACTAAAAGAACAAGGCTCCTTGGAGAAATGATGGGCTCTGGGTCTGGGAAAACAGACAGGTGTGACATTGAGATTTATTATACATCCTTATGTAATAAAGAGCTAATATGCTAATTAGACCGGACAGCGGAATGACCTTCCAGAGAGACCAGTGGGCGGGGGTCAGGGTCGTGAGGCAGCCTGGGCCGATAGGGGGGGGGCGGGCTGTGAGGGCCTACTCTTGCATGAATTTCGTGCATTGGGCCTCTAGTTTATATAGAGTTTTTTACCCAGATTCTGGTACAGAGGTCCTAAAACCCTTGGAATTTCCTCAGTGATAAGAGAAATAAGGGTGTCTTTTGAAGTCTCTAACAAGCCCCTCTCAGATACTCCAGAGCTCATTTTAGTCAAGGCGATGACTTTTGGAAAGCCGTGAGGATCTGGTCTAGCTGCCTGGGGAACCACCTAGTCATTACAGAGTTGTAATTTGGCCCCGCCCCCATCCCAGCCTCACGGAGGGGCTGGAGATTGAGCTCTATTGCCAGTGGCCAATGAATTAATCAATCATGCAAATGAAATAAAGCGACCAGAAAAATCCAAAAGGACTGGGTTCCAGAGCTTCCGGACTGGTGAACACCTGGGGATTCAGGGAGCGTGGACTCAGAGCATGGCAGCCCTGTACCGCTTTCCACACACCTTGCCTTTGCGTCTTTTTCTTCTGGCTCTTCCCGAATCATACAATCCTAGTAAACCTGGAATCTAGTAAATAAACTGTTTTTCCTGAGTTCTGTAATTCACTCTAATAAATTAATCGAACCCAACGTAGGGTGTTGTGGGAACCTCTCATTTACAGCTCGCTGGTCAGAAACACAGGTAACAACCTGGACTTGCAATTGGTGTGTGAAGTAGGGGGCAGCTAGACCCAAGGAGAGATATCACTTGAGGGATATTAGGCAGGAAAGATAGCTCTAGGGCAGGGGTCCTCAAACTTTTTAAACAGGGGAACGGGACAAAAACAATATTTGTATTTGCATGTGGCCCACGGGCCATAGTTTGAGGACCCCTGCTCTAGGGCATGAGGGGAAAGGGAGAGAAAAGGGAGTTTATCTCACCCACTAAACAAAGAAGTCAGCCACCTTAGTACTTGCCAAACAAGATGACCAGATGTCTGTACAAACATTCCAGAATAAGCCACAACAATGCAGAAGGGTACTTTGAAACCTACAGGGGGAAGGGTATAAAACCTCTTGAACCCTCACTGGGCACACACTCAGACTAGCTGAGTTGCCCACTTATGCTTTATGTCAAGTGTATTCTTTTTTAAATATATATATATTTTTATTGATTTCAGGGAGGAAGGGGAGAGAGAGGATAGAAACATCAATGAGGAGAATCATTGATTGGCTGCCTCCTGCAGACCCCACACTGGGGATCGAGCCCACAACCCAGGCATGTGCCCCGACCTGGAATTGAACTGTGACCTCCTGGTTCATAAGTTGATGCTCAACCACTGAACCATGCCAGCTGGGCTCAAGGGTATTTATAATAAATTTGCTTTCTTTGCTTCAACACTGCTATCTGTCACTCATCCGAAGTCTTTCTTGCGAGATTGACAAGAGCTGAGGAGGGAACAGCCCCCACCCTCTGACTCAGGGGCTGTCAGGTAACATTAACATGCTACTACTTGTCTTGTGAACCATAGAGGCTGTGCCGGAGGCCACCCAGGAGGCCAGACCACTCAGAGTAGACACTTGTCCCCTTCCAGCTCTCCCCATGACTCTCTGACAAGTTTATAAAAACAGGGCATGATATATTTAGTTTTTCCTGCTGTTCACATGTCCCATGCAGCTATCCCTCAGACCTGTTGCAGGTGAATCATGGTACAGATCCCTGTCCAGTGTGCAAACACACCTGTGACGTATCTGGCTGTGAGGCTTCTGCCTGAAGCAGCCTGAGCACAACTAAAGCACAAAGGCTATCAAAGCTAAGAGAGGATCTTGACCTCCACTGGGAGGGCGAGGGGAACAAATCAAGTTATCATTGGCCCTGCGGGAATCTTACGTGGAAGACAAAGACCCCAAAGACATGGACCAGGCGCTCCCACACATTGTTGGTGGCTTAGAAGTTGATGCAGCCGTTTTGAGGTCAATTTTGGGAATGCCAACCAATTTCTAAACATGAACATCCTCCGACCAGCGGTTCCACATCCAGGAATGTTCACACAAGCACCTGAGACAAAGGATGCTCACAGCATCTGTGTGAAAACATAGACCAGAATCACCTACTTGCCAATAGGAGGATAAATAGGTTAAAATGGCCTATTCGTACTTCGGGTACTACCGCACCATAAGTTTTTGTGGTGTACCTCAATTTCTTCATGGAGAATGTATTGCTTATGTTATTGAAAATGTGAGCCAATGCTTCTTTCCTTTCTGCTTCAATGGTAAACAAGCACCAGAAAATCCTTTTAAAATATACAAAAGGAAGCCATCTGATGGACGTCTTAGCACTCAGGGGCAGTGACATGACGTTTTTTTGTCCTCTGAGTGCTCAAATCGCTGCCTGTGATTGCCTCTGCGGAATGCTTTCTTGTTCCTCTACAGCATCTTGGGTAGAGCCCATAGTGTTCATGTAACTTTCATTGTTCAATGATCTGTCCAGTTTGCAAACTCTTGTTTCCTATTCAATACGAACGCCCAGCAGGTCGGGGACCTGCAGTGAAGAGGGAGTCGTTCTGCCTCTGGAAACTCCTTCTTCCTCCCTCTGTGCTGATATAAGGAGAGATGCAGCCATAACTTCCCAGGGCCCGCCCTACTGCTCAGCTCCCCAGTGTCGCTGAACACCTCACCTCTACTCCACCTGCTCACAGGACACCCCAATGCTCCTGTGATGCTCGCCCTCACCTGCAGAGGGCGTGCTTGGGAAGGGTGCAGCAAAGTGGCTTGGGTTGGCCAGGTTTCCAGACGATCTTTGACCCCCACGAAACTCCCACGCTGTGTGTGTGCCTGCTGAGTGGGGGTTGGGTGGGCTCCTCTGGGCAGATCAACAATCCTATCAAACAAGATGCCAGGCTCCTCTTCTTGCAGGCATCCCCCAAAGTTACATCTGATTCTTCTAGGGTCGGCTCAGGGCAGTGGCAAGTACTCCCACCGTGTGGAGGGCAGGAAATTGCCTCTGGAATGTTCCACCACCCCAGGCCTCCAACGGACGCCAGTCTCCCCATCCCCCACTCCGAAAAGGAAATCAGTTCCTTTTGTGCCACTTAGTTCACATATTTATTTCTTTTATTTATAGCTTATGGTCAATGCCAATCAACTCCATAACGTGAAACATTATTAAAAAATTAAAGCATTATGATGCAAAAAGCATAAAAGCAGGCTCAGAGGCACACGCGGCCGCAGGAGACCCAGCGGGTGCTTCAGGCCCGAGGATGCCTCGGCCGTCACTGTGTGCACATGCGAACCAAAATCTGTATCTAAAAATGTTTTTCCCATCGAAACTGTTGTGACTCTGATTCTTAACGATTAAAGCAGGTATTTTCAGAAAGAATTTAAAAGAATGATTACAAACTTAATCCTGCTGGTGCCCGCCCAGCCTTCCTCCAGCAGGGGCGTCCTCATGTCTGGTTTGGCTTCTGAGGCCCCGGGCCGGGCCTTCACCACCACCCCCACCCCCACCGCTGCTGGCAGCTCCACCCCGGCTCCAGGCAGCATTCTGGCTGTGGCGGCACCTGCTTCCAAAGTCCTGGCCTGGAACTTCGTCCCACAGGGGCCAAGGCTCAGGAACACCCCCGCAGTGCTGAGACTGGGGGGGCTCCTCCTCCAGCCAGCGGACCCCTGCATACTGGCTGCCACAGTTTACATCCGGCCGAGGAGCTTCTACTGTCTTTGTCTTTCCCAGCAGCAATTTGGAGATTTTGTAGATAAAGGTCCAAAAACAGGTCATTGTCTCTGTCACTGCCGCTGCCTCCCTGGGGGAGTCTCCAAACCTCCCTGGAAGGTGATCTTGCAGAAGCGCTGGTCAGCGAGAGACCTGGGAGACCCTGGGACTGGAAAACAGAGAAGCAGTAGGTGAGCTGGGCAGCTTGCGGGGAGGGGCGGAGGAGGAGGAGAGAGTAAGGGGATGGCTGGAGTCCTCACGGGGCCTGAAGCTAGTTTCAGAAGGGTGAACGCAAGTAAGTGGGGGCCCAGCTCTCATCTGCCTTCTAACCTGGGAGCTCAAGCCTCATTGTAAGGCCAGGTACTTACTTACCTGCTTTGTAAACTTTTCAAGTTGTCACCGTCTTGCTGAACAGGGTGCTCACAGTAGGTCTAAGAGGCAAGAGAAAGAACCAGGATCGTTAACACCAA